GGAAAATTTCCAGGGGTGGTCCCCCTGGTGGTTATCCCCCCCCAGGGGGGGGGGGCCCTGGGGGGGGCCCCCCCCATCTTTGGGAAAAAAGGGGGCCAGTTTTTTTAAGGTAACCAAGGGTAACCGAGGGTCCCCCCGGGGGGCCATTTTAAGCCTTTGGAAATAAGGGTTTTTCCCCCCTTTTTCTTCAAAAAAAAAGGCCGGGGGGGGCACCAACGGAGTTTTGGGTTGGAATTTCTTAAGGCCCCCCCCCCCCCCGCGGCCGCCGCCGCCCGCCTTGCCACTGGGAATGTGCCACAGCCTCGCGGGGGTTCCACACACCCCTGCGTGAGGGGGGAGAATTGGTGCCCCCCCCCCCCCCCCGCACCCGTATCCGCACCCGAGCTGCACTGGCCACTGCGCGCGTGAGTTTTGCCCGCCTCGAGGTCTCCAGAGTCGGACGACGCCGCCCAAGGCCAGCCCTCGACAGGGGTGGGGGGGTATGGTGCGCTCGGCCCCAGGCCCTCTATTGATTAGACCCCATGGGCGGACACTCCGCCGCGGAGCCTCCTCCGGGCATTCGACACTCTCTTCCCCTGCACTTACATAGGCTCGTCGACAACTCGTGGGTACGGCTTCTCGACACAGCAACCTCCAACCAATGATCTCTATATAGACAAATTAGACTCTCTCTACGTAGAATGGCTCGTCATTTGGCACATTGCGCCCACTCCTGCCCGCGACAGACCGACATGGCACATAGTTCGCGCGCCTCGTCTCCACGGCCTTGCCGGGATGCCGGCCAGTGTGGGCCGCCCCTACCGGCGCGGAATATTACGAGAATTTTCCATGTGTGGAGCGGCAGAGCGCGCGTCTCTGGCACAGACGGAGCAGCGACCGTGCCCGCCGTCGCTGCTCCGCCCCTCCGTCGCGCGCGCCGTGCGCGCGCTGCCGCCGCCGCCGCCGCCGCCGCCGCCGCCGCCCCCTCCTCGCCGTCTTTCCCTCCACCTGTGTGGTGTGGTGCGCGCGCGCACGCGGCAGCATCCCAACCCCTACCCTCGTAGCCCGCCGCCCCCCCGCCCCCGCCCCCTCCCCGCCCCCGCCCCCGCTCCCAAGCGCCCCTTCCCCGGTGCGGTTAGGGCCTGTGTCTCGTGAGAGGGTACATGTACCCGGCCCTTGCCCATGCCGCCTGCCGCCCGCCGCGTACCAGGTAGCTGGAGATCACGAAACTGGATACCTTGAGTTATGCCGGGACGAGAGCGCCCCCGCGCCTGCCCCGTCTCGCAGCGAGTCAAGTCAAGTCTCAAGCCAATACGAATGAACGAAAATCACAAAAATCATTTCTGCGCCACAGGCGTCAACGCTACTCACATTCCACATCGTCCACGTCTCACGACGAGTTCAGCTCTGTACACTACATGTACATGTGTATACCATGCACATTCACGTACGCGCCGCCGGTCTGTCATGGCCACGGTTCCAATTTCCATTCTCCATTCACACGTATCCGTAAACGTAGAACTTGCACACCGTCAGCCCCGTCGCAGACGGCCGGTTGAGGTAGATGTAGCGCCCCAACGCGTTGATCTCCACCTCCAACATCACGTTCGATGACACGCTCACGTCCGACTTCACCAGCGCGTTGCCCGTGTACGTCTCTGCCGTCGTGCCGAGATAGATGTCAATGCCGGTCAGACGCTGTGGGCAGCAGTCGTTGCGGTTCTGAAGCCGCACGTAGCGCACATACACCTCGCTCCCGAGGTTGACGCCCCACCATTGGCTTGTGTAGTGGCCGCACTCGGCCCACGGTCGTCCCGTCGTGCTGTCGGCGTATGACAGGTCGCTCACGGGCGCCTGCTTGTCGTAGATGCTCGAGTCCTGGTAAGTGGTGGCGGCGCTGAGGTCGAGCAGCTGCACCTCAGGCGGCGGCGGCGGCGGCGGCGACGATGACGGTGCAGGCGGCGGTGGCGGCGGCGACGGCGGCCCAGGCGGTGCGGCTGAGGCGAAGACGTAGAACTTGCACACCGTCAGCCCCGCCGCAGACGGCCGGTTGAGGTAGATGTAGCGCCCCAACGCGTTGATCTCCACCTCCAACATCACGTTCGATGACACGCTCACGTCCGACTTCACCAGCGCGTTGCCCGTGTACGTCTCCGCCGTCGAGCCGAGATAGATGTCGACGTCCGTCAGCCGCTCCGCGCAGCAGTCGTTGCGGTTCTGCAGCCGCACGAAGCGCACATACACCTCGCTCCCGAGGTCGACGCCCCACCATTGGCTTGTGTATTGGCCGCACTCGGCCCACGGCCGTCCCGTCGTGCTGTCGGCGTATGACAGGTCGCTCACGGGCGCCTGCTTGTCGAAGAGGCTCGAGTCCTGGTACGTGGTGGCGGCGCGGAGGTCGAGCAGCTGCACGTCAGGCGGCGGCGGCGACGGCGAGGCGGACGGCGGCGGCGGAGAGGGCGAGGCGGACGGCGGCGGCGCAGGCAAGGCGGAGGGAGGCGGCGGCAGAGGCGGCGGCGGCGACGGCGAGGCGGACGGCGGCGGCGGAGAGGGCGAGGTGGACGGCGGCGGCGCAGGAGGGTACCCCGGCGGGGCCGCCGGCGGGGCCGCCGGCGGGGCCGACGGCGGTGGCGAAAGCGGCGGCGGCGGAAGCGGCGGCGGCGACGGCGAGGCGGACGGCGGCGGCGGAGAGGGCGAGGCGGACGGCGGCGGCGAGGGCGGTGGCGGCGAGGGCGGCGGCGGCGAGGGCGGTGGCGGCGACGGTGGGGGTGGCGAGGGGGGCGGCGGCGAGGGTGGCGGTGGCGACGGCGGCGGAGGGGACGGCGGCGGAGGTGAGGGCGGTGGGGGTGAGGGCGCGGGAAGGACCACTGCGGCGACCGTTGGTTGCGCGGGTGTCGACACGACGGAGACGCCCATGAAGGTGCCACTCGAAGCGCCGATCGCGCTGGAGACGCCAGCCGCTGCGGCCTGCGCCGCCGCCATGGTGGGTGTGAGAATGGTGGCGGTGACGGTGAGGGAGCCGGCGGTGATGCTGAGCGAGATGTCGGCCGCGCTGACTCCGGCGGCGGCTGCGAGCTGCGACCTGTAGTTGGCCTGCGCGGTGGCATCAAAGTCTTCGACAGGCACGTCAAGCGTTGCGACCACGGTCACGGTAAATACCGAGGTGGACCCCGGTGAAAGGGGTGGCGGTGACGGCGGCGGCGGCGACGGCGGTGGCGACGGCGGCGGCGGCGAGGGCGGCGGCAGAGGCGGAGAGCTCGGTGGGGCCCGCTGGCCAGGAGAGAGAGGTGACGGCGGCGGCGGCGAGGGCGAGGCGGACGGCGGCGGTGCAGGCAAGGCGGAGGGAGGCGGCGGCAGAGGCGGCGGCGGCGACGGCGAGGCGGACGGCGGCGGCGGAGAGGGCGAGGCGGACGGCGGCGGCGCAGGCAAGGCGGAGGGAGGCGGCGGCAGAGGCGGCGGCGGCGACGGCGAGGCGGACGGCGGCGGCGGAGAGGGCGAGGCGGACGGCGGCGGCGCAGGCAAGGCGGAGGGAGGCGGCGGCAAAGGCGGCGGCGGCGACGGCGAGGCGGACGGCGGCGGCGGAGAGGGCGAGGCGGACGGCGGCGGCGCAGGCAGGGCGGAGGGAGGCGGCGGCAGAGGCGGCGGCGGCGACGGCGAGGCGGACGGCGGCGGCGGAGAGGGCGAGGCGGACGGCGGCGGCGCAGGCAAGGCGGAGGGAGGCGGCGGCAGAGGCGGCGGCGGCGACGGCGAGCCGGACGGCGGCGGCGACGGCGAGCCGGAGGGCGGCGGCGCAGGCAAGGCGGAGGGAGGCGGCGGCAGAGGCGGCGGCGGCGACGGCGACCCGGACGGCGGCGGCGACGGCGAGCCGGACGGCGGCGGCGCAGACAAGGCGGAGGGAGGCGGCGGCAGAGGCGGCGGCGGCGACGGCGAGCCGGACGGAGGCGGCGACGGCGAGCCGGAGGGAGGCGGCGCAGGCAAGGCGGAGGGAGGCGGCGGCGTGGGCGGCGGCGGCGACGGCGAGCCGGAGGGAGGCGGCGACGGCGAGCCGGAGGGAGGCGGCGACGGCGAGCCGGAGGGAGGCGGCGACGGCGAGCCGGAGGGCGGCGGCGCAGGCAAGGCGGAGGGAGGCGGCGGCGGGTACGAGGCCGGCGGAAGCGCAGGCGGGGACGGCGACGGGAGCGTCATGCACGTCTCAATTCGGTCAAGGGGCTTTTCGTTCAGTTTCCCTTCGTAATCGTATCCTGACCCCTCCATGTAGTCATAGACGCAGCGGCGCACCGGATTCGTAGGGTCGTCCGCGATGTTCGTGTAGCACTCGGTAGTCTCCTGGACGAGGTCGGCGGTGGATTTGGGGCCGTCCTTGTAGGTTTTCGTCGGGTCGCCAGGCAGGCACGGGTTTCCGTACAAACGGGGCCTGTTGCCAGTCTTTCTCAGGATTGCGTTGCACAAGACGCACGGGTCGAAGGCCGCCCCGATGACAAAGAGGAGCGCGTCGAATGCCGGGGCGGCGGGAGAGGCGACGACCGCGGTCGTCACAGAGTCCACGTCGATGTCGAGGAGGGGCCGAGACACGACAGCGATCGCCTCGCCGTCGGGGAGCTTCGACGTGCCGTCGAGGAAGCCCAGCCCGAAGAAGCCGCTGCCAACCTGCGGCGTCATGCCAGTGAGAAGGGAGGTGATGTCGCTCTCGTTAAAGGCGCCCGTGACCGCAATCTCGATGGTCAAAGCCACGCCGTCTGTGGGCCTGTTGGGCGAAGCGAACAGGTAGAGGGTTGTTGCTCTTGTCCTGCACGACGGTCGCCACACGGGGCGTCGAGGTAAACGGGACGCAGGTCACGATGCAGATCACGGTTGTGCTCGACGAGAAGTCGATGTACACGCTGTCCATGTCCGTGCCGGAGGTGAAGGTGACAGTCATGACGAGGCCGGCGGGGTGGGACTTGCCCGAGCCACCCAAGTCGCCGACGCCG